TTTTTTTTGAGGTGGAGTCCTGCTCTGTCACCCAGTCTGGAGTGCAATGGCGCAATCTCAGCTCATTGCAACCTCCGACTCCCAGGTTTAAGCAATTCTCTTGCCTCAGCCTCCTGAGTAGCTGGGATTATAGGTGACTGCCACAATGCCTGGCTAATATTTTTGTATTTTTAGTAGAGATGGGGTTTCTCCATGTTGGCCAGGCTGGTCTCAAACTTCTGACCTCAGGTGATCTACCCGCCTCAGTGTCCCAAAGTGCTGAGATTACAGGTGTGAGCCACCACGCCCCACCAATACATGTCTTTTCAACCCAGTAATCTCAGTGATCTTTTTAAAATGTTGGTTAGAATGTCACTATCCAATCAATGGCTTCTCATGTCATGCATTTTAAAAGCCCAAGTCTTTATAATGACTTACAAGATGCCAGGTGTGGTGGTGCCAGGGTAGTCTCTGCTACTCTGGAGGCTGAGGTGGGAGTATCACTTGAGCCCAGGAGTTCTAGGCCACAGTGCCTTATGATTGCACCCCTATGAATAGTCATTACACTCCAGCCTAGGTAACATAGTGAGACTCCGTCTTTTAAAAAAATAACCTACAGGGTCCTGTAGGATCTGGCCCTGTACCATGTCTCTGATACCATCTTTTATCTCTGTATTTGTTGAATGAATTAATGTTGCCAGTAATTGAAAGCAGCATTTCTCAGCCTATTCCATTCATTCATTCAACAAATATCTATTGAACAATTAACTGTCAAGCACTATGCTAAGCTCTGGGTACCTAGCAGTGAGCGAAACAGATATGGTCTGTCTTCATCAGGTTATGATCAGTTGGAGGAATCAGACAGTCGTCAAATAATCACATAAATATACATGTGTATGTATGTAATCACAGACTAATAAATGCTATGAATGAGAATCATAGACTTCCTAGAAGCAAATAGCAGGCACATCTGATCTTGTGTCTCTTTAATCTGAAGAAGTGCTGCTTGAGCCAGGTCTGGAATATTAACTGGTCTTAACTAGACAGAGTTGGACAAAAGAATGTTCCAGGTGAAAGAAACAGCATGGGTACTGGTGTTGGGTAGAGAGGAGCAGTGTTGGAAACAAGAGAGGTCAATGTGTTTGAGCAGCAAAGAGCATGAAAGTGTGAAGTGAGGGCAGGGAGGCAGGGCTGGTTGTACAGGGCTCTGAGCACAGGTGTGCTCAATTACTCCAGCCCCTGCCTGGTTTCTCTTGCCAGCACACACCTCGGGCTATTCTTCCAATATGATGTTTAGTGAGCTGCACCTTGGGCTCTTGCAAAAATAAAAATAAATCTAAGTCTTTCCAAATCCTTCGTTTGGTCTCCTTTCCAGAACACCAAAACCCGAGCTAACTTTGGCTCCCGGCCATTTGCCTACGCAGAAGGGCAGGCTCACCGCAATGCTGCCGACCTGTGCACTGACCTAGCAGAAGAGATCAGTGCTAACTTTGAGGCCCTGCCTTTCGCCATGGCATCTGACAGTGACAATGATGCTGGCACCAGTATTGCATCAGACCCAGGCACTCATGGGCCACCATGTCGGATTGCTGCCGTGGCCACCGCTCAGCAACGTAAGTCATCTCCTGGGACTTACTGCCTCCATGTCTTCCTGGGACCATGAATGCTATGAATTTCATAAACCCACTGCACTGGGTCATCCTCATTACAATCAGCAGTTGCAAACCCAAGTGCCCATTAGTAATGGGGTCACAGGCCTGATGAAAGAAGGAGGGGAGCAGGAGGAAGCATAGCAGACCAAAGTGCATCCCCATTTCCAGGAAGCCTGCTGTGCCCCAGGGCAGCCACTGCAAAACCGCTAGAGCCCCAGCACTTTGTATGAAGTCTCCTCATGAGTCACAGTGTTACTTATTTTCAAAAATTATCCTAAAACCAAGGTAATTACAGAATAATAAAATGCTAAGTGGTAGGTATATAGGTGGGCACCGAAAACTTTTATGATTACTTGAACAATTTTTTCATAAAATTAAATAAAACAGCTCACCAAAGTTAGAATGTCTGCAAGCCATATTTGGTCTGTGGGATACTGGTTTGCAAACTGTTTTAAGATTATGTTTAGGGCCAGGCACAGTGGCTCACATCTTTAATCCCAACAATGGGAGGTCGAGGAAGGAAGACTGCTTAGCCCAGGAATTTGAGACCAACCTGGGCAACATAAATTTTCTGAGACCCTGTCTCTACAGAAAATTTAAAAAATATTGGGAGGCTGAGGTGGGTGGATCACGAGGTCAAGAGATCAAGACCATCCTAACCAACATGGTGAAACCCCATCTCTACTAAAAATACAAAAAAATTAGCCGGGTGTGGTGGTGCGTGCCTGTAGTCCCAGCTAATCGGGAGGCTGAGGCAGGAGAATTGCTTGAAACGAGAAAACAGAAGTTGCAGTGAGCTGGGATCACGCCGCTACACTCCAGCCTGATGACAGACCGAGACTCTGTCTCAAAAAAAAAAAAAAAAGAGTCTGTTTGGTTCTATCTCATAGTGAAGGACTTCCTAAATTCTTCTCTGAATTGAATGAATTATACTCATAAAAACTATTTTAGGATTCAGGGTAATTATAGATAATTAGTTATTCCTAGAGTCTGTATTTTAAAATTCCTCAGCGTACTAGGAGTCTTCCTATCATGCAAATTAAGATAATCTAGTTTGTCTGAGGGTGAGAAGTTAAGGATTGTTCCAGCCTGCTGTTGTTTATAATTTGCTGTCCTTGTGCTCTGTTACAGAATACGATAGTGACACCTCCTGTCATTATAAAGTTGAGCTAAGCTATGAGAATTTCATCACCTCTGGCCCAGACCCTCACCCGCCTCCCATTGCAGATGATGAAAGCGATGATGATGACGATGATGATATCCCGCAGGTAAGAGACTGAAGGTCTAGTTCAGGGTTCGGCAGTATTTGCTTAGCTTCCTGGTAACCAAGACAAACCTTGAGGAGTGATTTTAATGTAAGAGTGCAAAGCTGGTGTTGTTACTCTCAGTGACATCATTGTGCTTGAACAGTGACCTTAGAGTGTTAATTTTTCCAAACCCCTATCAGTAGCGATATCCGCTGAGCCGTTTTGCCCAGTGAAGATCCAGATACTAGAGAATGAAGTGCTTTGCAATAGCTCAGAATCCTGTGAAAGGATCTAGCATGGTGGCCCATGAGTGTCTGGGTCTGATGCAATACTGGTGCCAGCATCATTGTCACTGTCAGATGCCATGGCGAAGGGCAGGGCCTCAAAGTTAATGCTGATCTCTTCTATGGCTTCTTCAGAGGAAAAGGAAGAGCTTGCCCTAGTCTAGCTCTTCCCTCCCCTGGCATCTGGAGTTGTATCTAGTACAGGGGTCCATGCCTGATCTTTCTATTACTGGCATTTAAGTGGGTTGAAGACCTCAGGGTGAGGGCTAAAAGTTAGGGAAGCAGTGATGCCTGCACCAGATGTTCCTTCTCCTCCATTCATGAGGTTCCTTTTCCTTCCAGGAGGACCACTACGCCCTGCTGGTGAAAGCTTGGGAGACCAAGGTTTTTCCTACTATCCGAAGACGCTTCCGCAATGAAGCAGAGCGGAAATCAGGCCTGGATCAGATAAAGGGGGCCTTACAACTAGGTCTGGTACTTTTTGTTCTGCTAAGGAGCTTACTTCATGACTTGAAGTGAGGAGTTAGATGAAAATCAGAACGTAAATCAGGAGAGACTCATCTAATGTTATACCAGACTTAACAGTGTCTTCAACCTTACCTTTAGTGGACTCTGATCTTTTGTTTTCATTGCTGGACTTTTATTTGCTTGTCAATTTAGCTGAATATTTTGGGTTGATGGACTGCTGCAATGAAGCTGGAGTGGTTGTAATGGGAAACTCTGTGGTCTGGTGGTTAACAGTCACATCTGAAGCCACACTATTTACCAGCTGTGTGGACTTGAGAAAATTACTTAACATCTGTGGGCTTTCCGCATCTTTAAAATGGAATCTGTGCTCTGCAAGGTTGACTTGGCAGTCTCTCACTGTTCCCTGATTCCTGCTTATTAAACAGTATTTTTGGCCACGTGCCGTGGCTCACGCCTTTAATCCCAGCACTTTCAGAGGCTGAGGTGGTGGATCACCTGAGGTTAGGAGTTTGAGACCAACCCAGCCAACATAGTGAAACCCTGTCTCTACTAAAAGTACAAAATTAGCCGGGTGTGGTGGTACACGCCTGAAATCCAAGCTACTCCCAAGGCTGAGACGGGAGAATCACTTGAACCCGGGATGTGGAGGTTTCACTGAGCCGAGATCACACCACTGCACTCCAGCCTGGTGACAGAGCGAGACTTGTCTCTAAATAAATAATTAATACAATAATAATTAAAATGAT